GAGAGAGAGAGAGAGAGAGAGATAATTAAAAAAAATAATTTTAATATTCTGTAAGACAGAACAAAGAATACAAGATAAGAAACAAGAATACAAGGTAACAGCACAGAACATTATATGTCAACATTCAATCATAGGTTACTTACAGCACTCAATCAATCAATAAGAGATTATTATCATTATTATTATTATCATTATTATTATCATCATACTTTATATAATCTGTCCAGATCCGATAAAAATGTGATTCATCCCTTTCAGAAGTCAGTATTCAAAATTTATCAGTCACTTTTTCCATAAGAGCAAGTGAGCATTCTTTTGCACGCCAATCATTCAATGATAGGTTATCTAGAAATTTCCAGTTTTGGGCAATGCTCAATGTTTCAGCCAGGAGTAAGAATACAATAAGCTCCTTTTTGTTTAGTTTAGAGTTATCTCCCTCAAAAATATGCAATAATCCCTATTCTACAACACATTCTCCTTTTTGTTTAGATAGATGATCTCTAGCTAGAGATTCCTCATTTACTGAACTGCATTGTGGGAAAGAATGCTCTGACGGGGCACCAACAACACAATATCCAGAAGAAATTACCTTGATCCCCTGTGCCACAGCAGCAGCTTCATTGGCCTCCTTTTCATCACCAGCCACCAGCTCTTTCTTGGCGTCGACCTCAGCCGTTTCCTTCTCAATGTGAAGCATCATTTTCTCCGTCTCTGCAGAGGTTTCGATCAGCTGAGGCTGGAGGGCCGTCAATTCTTTTTGCATGACTGCAACCTAGAAGAGGGCACCCAGGAAACCAGAACAATCTTTTTTTCTTAATTTTTTATCCCACCTTTCTTATTTTTATGAATAACTCAAGGTGGTGAACATACCTAATACTCCTTCCTCCTCCTATTTTCCCCACAACAACAACCCTGTGAGGTGGGTTGGGCTGAGACAGGGGGGCTGGCCCAAAGTCACCCAGTTGGCTTTCACTAGAATTCACCATCTCCTGCTTTCTAGCCTGGTGCCTTTACCACTAGACCAGACTTAATATAACAGATAATATAACTTAATATAACTTTTTCTATTTTATAAACAAAGGTATAAAATATAAAATTTATTTTTATTTTATAATTTTTTATATTTATAACTTTTTAATATTTATATTATTAATATACTTAATAATATGACTTAATATAACAGAGCATGGCAATTCATCTTTCAGAAACAAACCCACACATAAATACAATTGGGTGCAGCAGTTCCTCTTTCAGGGTCTAAAGGAAATGTTTCAAAGAATGAAAAGGTTTCCAAGAGGATAGAAGACTTGTCATCTCGAAATCATCAGGTCATCTTCTACCTAATGATGTCACCCTTTCTTAGCTAAGTAGCTTCAATATTTCAGTGGTCTAAAATGGTCACACCCTTGGCTACATGGCTATCTGTAAATGATGGAAGGTGCTTCACTTCATAGGATCAAGACTGGGGTAAAACCCAGAATCTAAATTTGAACGTAATTGAGTTTATGAAAATGAATAAATGAATAAATG